CGGAATTGCCTGAGTTTGCGTAACTGAAAAGACAGGCGTCTCAGTTTTCCCATACAGTTATAAAAACATGTAGACCAATGACCAAAGTGATACTCGGACATCGTAAATTGAAGAAGGTATAGTAGTCGCGATCGGAGCGCGCCCCTTGAACGGCTGCGCTACAATTTCTCGCCACCGTCGCGTTCTGGAATTTATCTACCCAAATTGCTAAGTATGCGTGCTCTAACCATATACACAAAGATATTCATGTTAAAAATTAAGGATGTTATTGTGAAAAACCACATTGCCATGTTTGGAGTGCCAGTTGCTAGTCAAGCGCACAAATACTGCAAACGCGGAAAACGCATTCGTGCCGGTTGGCAAACTGCCCTTGGTCGTACTACTCCCAGCAAGATGACCGTACCTACCATTGTGAGTAACAGTGTCCGTTCTGTGTTTAGAAAGCTTCCGGATTTGTACTACCAGCTCCAGCGAGAGGAATTTCGCACCTCTTGTGTCTTGTGTCTCCAGGAGTCATGGCTGAATGAGGATGTGGACGATTCCGTGGTCCAACTGGATAATTTCATCTGCTTCAGACAGGATAGACAACGGTGTAGGAAAAAGTTGGTAAGCGATGTGATTACTTAAATCAATTCCAACTGCTGCGGCAAGTCCGAAGTACTTTTTAAGTATTCATAGAATGGCGTTGACCGCTTTCCTTATATCGCCATCACTAATTTATACATTGCACCCGAGTGTGGATTGTCAGACATTGACGCATTTTATGTTTATGACATATGCTGTCCTGTGATAACTTTGTCCCTTCAACATGGCAGAATATCAACACCTTTTCTTAAACGTCTTCACCGTAAAAAGGAACGTGCATTTAAATGTGGCAGGAGGGCCGAAATGCAACGACTATCGTTTCTGATCCAGAGTGAAATAAAACGGTTGAACGCCCTTTAAGCAAGTCAGTATTTTTGAGACGAGGAAATCTCTGTGGTGTGGAATCAATCTACTCTGCAGGCAGAAGAAAGTGACTTCCAGTCCCTCTATTGACATTGAAAAACTGAATGCTGCATTTGTTCATTCTTCACCCGAAACATACCCCAGTTATGTTGATTCCAGTTCTCCAAACATCTAACCTTCGTTTGATCCCATCACCTCTAGTGAAATGCATAAACACATGTGTTCTCTCAAGGTATCGACCACACCTCGTCCGGACAACTTCTTAAACACGGTGCTCTGCCACTGTCTCAGATTTTTGCACACAGCTAATCTTTCACTCGAACTCCAAACTATTCCGGACTGCTGGCATCCAGTGAGAATCACTCCCATCCCCAAAAGAACGTCAAAGGTCCCAATAGCGAAGCATTTCAGACCAATGGCTCTCATTTCCACTAGTTTGAAATTGATGGAGCGATCAGTTCTGCATCGTCTTCAGTTATCCTTACTACTCCAGATGATACTTATCAGTTTGCATACAAACATAACCGCTCTACATTAGATGCCGTTTCTTCTCTATTTCATTTTATCTGTAAGTCCCTTAACGAAAAAGCCAAATATGTGCATTGTGCATTTCTTAACTATTTTTCCACCTTCGACTGGGTGCCCCATTCTCTTTTACTTAACCAGCTCCAATCTTTTGGCTGTCCCGCTTCTCTTCTTGAATGGTTTGCTGATTTCTTTTCGCGAAGATATCAGTATGTTGAATTGGGATGAAGACAGTCAACCGCATCACTCAATAGCTCAGGTGTATTTCAAGAAGCTGCCTTATCACCGTTTCTTTTTTCAACTTACTCCCATGACTCACCTACTGCTCTCTCTGTTCGACATTTTAAGTATGCTGATGATATCGCCATTTCTGTTTCCGTATCTAGCCAATCAGAAATGGTTGAATATAACCCAAAACTACTCTATTTCGTTTCATATTCCACTTCATCCGGTCTTAATCTTAATCCTGAAAAATGCCTTGAATGTATTTTTACTCTTAACCGTTCCCCGTCTCCCTCCGATAATATGCAGATTCATGGAAAGCCGATGAGAAGGGTCAGTCATGTGAATTTCTTAGATATCACACTTGAAAGTAACCTTCGCTGGTCCTTACATACCCAAAGTGTTGCTCGGAAGTTGAAAAGTCTCCCTTTTCAGATAAGAAGACTGCGCCACTTCTGTTCTGACTCGTCGGTGATAAACGCTTTCGTTTAACAATGTGTCCTCCCTATACCCCTGTAATGCTCTCCTGTAATTTTCCCTGGTTTGTTGAAGGCTGATTTCAATTTGCTGAGGCGTGGCCTCACAATGGTCAGCCGTGTCTCCCAAGTTCCGTTAACTGTTCTGATTGGCGATATGTGTATTGCCTATACTGATGCGTGTTTGACGTTTGCTGACAATATCCTATCTGATTGCACCCATCCTCTACACAATGACTTATGTGCATGCAAATCCCACCCCTCTACCCGTTCTAACTAAGAACTTATCCTGTCTCGCATATCCGCATACAGAAACACTTTGGTACCCTATCTTGCCCGGATACTGATTAGCGCATATTTTGTGTACGTTTCACATCCAACTTTTCCCCTGTTTTCAGCAGAATTTTAACGGTGGTTTATTTGTTGGCTGAAAGCTTGTATATAACTCGCTAAAGCTTGAATACAATACAATAGTTCGAAATCAGACCGCACGTAGCCGATATGGACTGATTTGCAGCCCCGTGCATACCCTGTGTGTGGGTGTCTCAAGTCGACTGCATACCCCTCTTTGAGTGACACTACTTGAAACAGCGAAACTTTTTCTTTGTCAATCTGTCCCTGTGGATCTTGTTCAAAAGATCAGGGCAGTGCTCCGGTTGAGAGCATGGGAGATTGTTTTCACTCCAATACATGAATCATATGTCAATATCAACGCTCAATTTGTTTTTTTTTCCAGTTTGAACTTTACTTTGTAGCATCTAGTTGCATCTACCGTTACATTTATAGATAGGTTCGGATTCGCTGGCCTCCATTGATAGGTGTGTTGCTTGATTGGTGAGATGATATCTGATCATCTCCAAGCCTCGCGGTAGATAGTGACAGTTGATCTCGATATTAGCGACGCTCATGAGTGATTCACCGAATGAGCAGTCGGATTCTACCGGAAAGCTAGACAGATTAAGGCAGAATTCATGACCCCACGATCAATTACACAAGAAAGTAACTAAAATCGTCAAAATTCCGAGTGCACTAGGTTATTGCCTATCTATCACAAACGGACAAGCGCCCGATTAAGCGGAATGCTTCCTAAACTAAAGAAGCGTACCAATGGAACAGAAACATGACAGTTGAGGGAAGAGATAGGCGGAAACACACACCAAGCAACCTCACTCACCTCACACAAGGCCACCAAACCGACGTTCTTCTTCTGAGTGGGATAAATGTAATTTGCAGATTTGGATGATGAATCGGCGAAGTATATACCTTTCCCAAACATATAGCCCGTCGATGGGGCCTCGGGTGGAGCAATCTTCAAACCACGTCCCAAAATGCCGACCCAGTTAGTCAGCCGGCTGCCATGCCACAACAGCATGCTGTGAAAAAGAGATCAATTGAAATGATGGTGAGGAGGCACATAAATAAAGCAATTGTAGACAGTGAGCTGCAACGCGAAGATATATAAATAGGAAAAAATCAAACGAGACGAACGATCCCAGTTTGGTTAATAGTAGGGTTTGCTAATGTAATTACTGGTACTACAAAATATGCGCATGCGAGAACTCCTACCACAATGAGTCTCGTTAGCAGTTGTTGTTCCAGGAGGAAGGAAATAGTGTGGAGACAAGAAGTGGAGAAACACGTAGCGTTTATGTTCGGTTTGTTACCAAATCGGAAAGCATAAATAAGTATCTGGGCACAGATAGGCTGTGCACTCGCGTCCTCATCATAAAGGGTCACTTTCCCCTTGCCTACTCACCGTCAACAATCTTACTTTTTTGTATTTACTGTGAATGTAGCAGCGACGAGAAATGTTCGCACTACTTTACTTTGCTGTGAGACGATGGTGATGATTATGAGATAGATCGCGAAAGCGCTAAGCAATGAAGTCTAATCAGTACGCTCAGTTTCTCAAAACTATCCCTGCTTCTGATTACACTTGATGATGATTCGTGTCAACAAACTGGAACTGAGTAGAAAAACGAAACTCCACGGCTTCATGTAGTATTTGAAACAGAAGAGCAAAGTTTGGAACAATCGCTTTCCGACAGTAAATTGTACAAAAGCACCAACTTGCGAGAGCGCATGATGCTTTTCTGGAGTCCGTTAGTTGTAACTCAACCAGTCCTTATCACAGAAAAAACGCCCACTGCTGCTCAAAGAAATGGGTACCGCATTTCACCGAGATAAATCACGCGAAAATCTATATAATCCCCTAAAACGGTAATCACTAATAGAAAATCCAAAGAGAATCCATTCAGAGACCCCATCAACGTATGGTGGACACAGAAATATGTAGCAATATTTCGAAGAGCCGTCTTTGTTAGCAATGACAACAGCCAGTTTGAATAGCAAACTATTGACGAGGCTTGGTTTGTGATCTCAAGGAACATACCTAAAGTAAGCTGTAAGCACGCTAATCAATGCCACCAGGTATTGCGACCTTAAAGCTTCCCATTTGATGTCCATCAGTGTTCAATCGGATACGGATCTGGCGCTCTACCAGGCTGTGATATACAACCAACATCATAGGCGAGTTGGTATAACTGAACACCTGAACATCGATNATCAGCTGGATAATCATCTTGAAAGATAAAGGTTGGCTTCAATTCTAGCAACAACTTAAGTTCAATCGATGAAAAACGATGATGAACCCCCGACTACCACTTATAGCCAAAAACTCGCTTCATCCATTTGTGTTTCACGCCCGTCACAACGGTGAATCTCTCGGTCGAAGAGCACCATTCAATGCTAGTCGGTATTCTAAGCAATCATAACCGGTCATTGTGCATTTATTCTACACTCA